TCCACTTCACAGATAAAAAGCCTGATGCCCACGGTCTATTAATGTGTCCAATTTCACATGGCTGGTAAGTGACAGGACTGGGACAAGATCCCTAGTCTGAATTAGTGTAAAGCACACTCTGTTCCATGCCTCCCAACCTGAGACTGACTGTGTCCCCTTATTCACTTTTCTTCTCACTACTCCCAAATGTATATCAAGTGATAAAAAGATTCTGTGCCCAATTTGCTGGACTGAAATACATAACCAGAGCAAGGAAATTACCAAAATGGTTGAGGGGTGTGAATTAAGGAGAGAAAGATAATATTTGGTGACAATATGACTACATATGCAAAGTCAGATAAACTCAAAAGATCATGGGCTCACATTCTGTCGTTCTGAACAGTTCCCCTTTTTATAGGAAGTTAAATCTTTTCCAAGAGAAATACATAAGAGGGTGGTAAAGAGAAGAAATAGATCAACATGTTTTTTTGTTTGTTTGTTTGCTTTTTTTTCCTCTGACGGTATGACTTTTAATCCTGGGCTTCTGCCTTGTGTTACAGCTTCCCTATATTACATCACTCCTGGGACAGGGATGCATTGTCTGCAAGATTTATTGTAGGGAAACTGGTCAAGAGTTTTTAGGGATGTGGCATTTCCCAGGAAGTCATTAATTAAGGGACAAGAGCTAAGATAAAGACCTTCATACAGGAGGACTGAGCAGAACATGCCAGACAGAGTTCTTAGCCTGAGCATCTCCTCACTTATTCTTCAAGGTTCTCAGGGACCTATAAGTTCCTGCATCTCAGGTCGGTAGAGGGAGGAGTCCCATTCTCTGACACATACCAAGCTGAGGACCCTGAATGAAGAATGAGGGAAGCACTCACCCAAATAGTCTTGACAGCATGGGGCTGAACCTGATTTCTACTCTGGAGTTCTTAAGAAGGTAAAGACCATGATCTGAGGCTGGCTGACTCAGGTCCATAGAGGAAGGATTCCTAATGTGTGCCAGGAGTAAAGTGAGTACCCTGAAGAGTGCACAAACCACCAAACCCCTATGAGAGGGGACCCCACAGAATCCTCCCTATTGTCATCTCTGAGAGATTCAGGCATGAATGTCAGACAGAGGCATCCTCATATCCTCAGTAGTAACAGAGAAGTGAAGGTCTGGTTCTGAGGTGGGCAATCCCAGCTCAGCAAAGGGAAGAATATTAAGCCTTCCTGTGAGTCAGATTTAGGATCCTGAGTTAGGGCCTGAGTAGGACAATCCATCATAAGACCTCAACCTGTCTACCACAGCTGCCACCCTTGGGAGACCACGGTCAGTTGTGGCCAGATAAGGCCACCCTCTTCCTCCTATCAGATCTCAGGGAGGTGCAGGCCTTTTAAACAGAGAGGTCTTCAGGTCAAAAAAGAGGGGAGCCCCAGGATCTGCTAGGAGCCAAATCAAGGAAACCGAGTGAGAACTGAGGGGACTGCTCACCTCTGAATAGAGAGGACAACAGAGTCCACCCCCCTGCATAAATCTTAAATTGCCAGAGCAGCATGTAAGGTTGAGGATTCACCACCACTTTTTTAATTTTTTAAAAATAATTGACCTTCTTTTTTAGAATAGCTTTACATTCACAGCAAAACTGAGCAGAAAGCACAGAGTCCCATGGGCATCCTGTCCTCCCACAGACACAGCCTCCCTCATATCAATCTCCCAAGCCAGGGTGATACATTTGTTACAATTGAGAATACATGGACACGTCATTATCACCCAATGCCCGATGTCTGTAGTTTAGGATTCATTCCTGATGCTGCACATTCTGTGGGTTTTAATATTTAAAAATGTAACATGACATATGTTTACCACCATAGCATCATCCAGAATTGTTTTACTGCCTTAAAAGTTCTCTGTGCCTGATCTATTTATCTCTCACTCTCCCCAACCCTTGGAAACCACTGAACTTTGTACTGTTTCCATACTTTTGCCTTTTCCAGAATTTTTATATAGATGGAATTATGCAATGTATAGACTTTTCAAATTGGCTTCTTTCACTCTGTGATATGTATCTAAGTTTCATCCATGTCTCTTTGTGGCGTGATAGTCCATTCCCTTTTAGTGCTGAATAATGCTTTATTCTATTAATTTACCCACTCTCCTTCTGAAGGACATGTTGGTTGCTTCCCAATTTGGGCAATTATGAATAAAGCTACTATAAACGTTTGTGTGCAGGTTTTTTTTTTTTTTTTTTTGTGGGCATACTGTTTTCAACTCATTTGGCTAAATAACAAGGAGCACACTTGCTGGATCATATGATAAGAGTATGCATAGCTTTGTAAGAAACTTACAAACTGTCTTCCAAAGTGGCTGTACCATTTTGCATGTCCACCAGCAGTGACAGTGTGCTCCTGTTGCTCCACATCCTCATCCGTATTTGGGGTTATCAGTGTTTTTGATTTTGACCATTCTTATAGGTATGTAGTGGTATCACATTATTGTTTTAATTTGCAAGTCTCTAATGACCTGTGATGTTGACCATCATTTCATGTATGTATTGCCTTCCATATATATTATTTGTTGAGGTGCCTGCTTAGATCTTTTGCCCATTTTTCATAGGGTTGGTCAGTTCTTATTGTTCAGTTTTAAGAAATTTTTGTATGTTTTGGTTAACAGTCCCTCATAAGATATGTCTTTTGAAAATAATTTTTTCCCAACCTGGGAGTTATCTTATTCTCTTTGTGGTATCCTTAGCAGAGCAGAAGTTTTAATTTAGCAAAGTCCAGATTATCAATTTTTTTTTTCTTAGATGCCCATCACATTTTATATCAGAACTAGAAAAGGTGAAATTCTTGTTCTGAAGTCGCAGTTATCAGTCAGCAGAAGAGACAGTCCACAACCTTGCATGGAGTCCAGATGAGGATCTTGAGTGCAAATCTGGGACCTAAAGAGAGAGTACTAAATGCTTCTAGGCAGGGGTGGTGGGTTGAGGGGCCCCTGGACTTCGTTCATTTGGGTCCCAGAAAACTAAAGAGTCAATTGCACAACACCAATAGAGGGAGGCTCAGGCCCTGCCAAGAGCTGACATGATAATTTTAAAGGTAATCAGAGTGGATCCTCTCCAAGCTTGAACACAGAGATCCCAACTGCGAGGCTTGTTGTCACCCAGTCAGCCCCCAGGCAGGGTTGGCAAGCTGCAGCCTAAGGCACATTGTAACTTCCTCAGCTGAGTTCTCAGGGGACAGAATGACTAAGAACAATAGCCCAGTGAATACTTAGAGCAGTGTTCTCAAGGAATCCTGCAGAGGCGGCTTCTGAAAAGCCAAGGTAGTAGCTGCCTGCTGAAGGTGTTCTCAGGATTTCATTCGCTTTTCTCCAGGAACCACATCACCTGCCCTTCTGCCTACACTCCTGCCTGCTGTGCCTAACCACAGCCATCATGCCTCGGGGTCAGAAGAGTAAGCTTCGTGCCCGTGAGAAACGCCAGCGGACCCGTGCTCAGACCCAGGATCTCAAGGTTGGTCAGGCTACTGCAGCAGAGAAAGAAGAGTCTCCTTCCTCTTCCTCATCTGTTTTGGGGGATACTCCCTCCAGCTCCCTTGCTTTGGGCATTCCCCAGAAGCCTCAGAGAGAGCCACGCACCACCCCTGCTGCTGCAGCTATGTCAGGCACTGGACCTGATGAAGGTGAAGACAGCCAAGATGAGGAAAATGCAAGTTCCTCCCAGGCCTCAACATCCACTGAGAGATCACTCAAAGATCCTCTAACCAGGAAGACGAAGATGTTGGTGCAGTTCCTGCTGTACAAGTATAAAATGAAAGAGCCCACTACAAAGGCAGAAATGCTGAAGATCATCAGCAAAAAGTACAAGGAGCACTTCCCTGAGATCTTCAGGAAAGTCTCTCAGCGCACAGAGCTGGTCTTTGGCCTTGCCTTGAAGGAGGTCAATCCCACCACTCACTCCTACATCCTTGTCAGCATGCTAGGCCCCACCAATGATGGAAACCAGAGCAGTGCCTGGAGCCTTCCGAGAAACGGGCTTCTGATGCCTCTACTGAGTGTGATCTTCTTAAACGGCAACTGTGCCGGTGAAGAGGAAATCTGGGAATTCCTGAATATGTTGGGGATCTATGATGGAAAGAGGCACCTTATCTTTGGGGAACCCCGAAAGCTCATCACCCAAGATCTGGTGCAGGAAAAATATCTGGAATACCAACAGGTGCCCAACAGTGATCCCCCACGCTATCAATTCCTGTGGGGTCCAAGAGCTTATGCAGAAACCAGCAAGATGAAAGTCCTGGAGTTTTTGGCCAAGGTGAATGACACCACCCCCAATAACTTCCCACTCCTTTATGAAGAGGCTTTGAGAGATGAAGAAGAGAGAACCGGAGCCCGGCCCAGAGTTGCAGCCAGGCGTGGCACTACGGCCGTGACTAGTACGTATTCCAGGGCCACATCCAGCAGCTCTTCCCACCCCATGTGAGATCTAAGGCAAATTGTTCATTTTGTGGTTGAAAGACCTGTTGCTTTCTCTGTTCCTGTGATGCATGAATAACTTGTTGATTTATCTCTTTGTTGTATTTTCTAGTGATGTTTCTTAAAATAGAAAGTTTATTTAGATTCAGAATATAAGTTTAGAAATGGCATGCATCACACACTTATTGCTGTTTATCAGGTTGGTTTAGTGATAAGAATTTTGTTTTTGAAATACAAATAGAAAATCCTGAAATCATTTTTGTGATACAGAGCAAAATAACATGGCATGGGAGTAAGGTTATCCTTAGAAATTTATAATAACTTCACAGTAAAATAGGTAGAATCTGAAGATAGAATGAGAAGAAAAGTAAAAGTTGCTTTATTCATGGTTTGTCTTACTCCGTTCAGTCTTTTTTTGTTCATAAATTTAAAAGTTACATACCTGGTTTGCTTAGATTATTCAAGAATGTGGAGGCCTGGGCCAAGGTCAATGACAGTGTCCCCATTGTCTTCCCTCCATTCAGAGAAGACTTGGAGAGATGAGGGAGAGAGAGCCAGAGATAGTGTTGCAACTGGGTCTGGCATGTTTCAGTGTGGTGTCCAGCAGTGTCTCCCACTCCTTGTGAAGTCTGAGGTATATTCTTTACTTTTGATTAAGAAAACGCTTAACCTTCTAATTAATGGAGGGCCAAAGGGGAGTTGGTGGGAACACTATATATAACATATTTGTATGTAAAATGATTTATCTTTTCTTTTTCCTGCTTTTCAGTGTTCTTTTTTTAAATTGTAGATTTATTTAGTTTCAGAATCTAAGTTTGTGAAAGGCATGAATCACTCATTTATTAAAATATAACAGGTTGAAGAGCGAGAATTTTTGCATTATGTAAAACAATTTAAAAATCTTTTAAGTCTTTTCCTGTGATCTAGAACAAGATAATATGGAATTGGAATATGAAATTTGTGAAAAGGAAATTACCTTGCAATAAAGTTGGTGGGACCATGAAGTAGAGAAAAAAAAAAGTAAAATGTGGTCAATTCTTGCTTTGTTTTGTTCTTTTTAGTTTTTCTTTGTAAAACTGAAGTATATGTACCCGGATTGGCTTAGCTTTTTCAGGAATGTGGGGGAAATTAAATAGCAATACATTTGACTTCCTGGTCACTTACACTTTAATCGTCCAAATATTAATTGAGCAGCTGTTCTTTGGAGGGCTCCTGGCTAGTACCGGATAAACTAAAAAACCAAAAAACAAACAAACAACAAAAAACCCCCAATCCCTGCCCATAGAATTTTAGAATCCAACAGCAGCTATCATATAATGAAGGTGATGAGATACTCCCTAAGACCTAAAGACAGGTGAAAAGAGGGGATAAGAAAGAAGGTGGGGGTGTTTCCAGCAGTGGAATCTAGTGTAAATGTCCTAAGCAAGGTAATCGAGACTTTGGGAAACCGACCATACTGCAATAGGAGGTAATTTTATGTCCCGGCCTAGTGCCTAGATGGGGTGCACTGAGCAGGGGTCACACACTCAAATGGTGGATCTCAGTCTTCAGAGATGGAGACTGGAATGAAAAATTGCCTTTAACAGTTACTTTGAGATTATGGAAAAACCAGAGGGAATCTTTGCCTAGAAGCAGGGATTGAAAGTGGCCGGTGCTCTTGTCCCAGTGCAAGTGAAGTGAATCCAGTACACAAACTGGGTGTTTTATGCACGTAGTCCCCAGAGTGTTTCTGAGAAATAAAGGTGATACTCCTTTAAGACTGGAAACTCATAAGCCACTGGGCTAATACTCTGCTATCAGCTGGGCAGCCAGAACCCATTCCATTAAAACGAATTTTTTTCCTTTCATGTGTGTTTGCAAATTCTAAGGGAGATCTAGATTTTTGATGGTGGTAAAATGAATGAAAATAAGTGGTTTGGATGAAAGGCAGAGTTGGTCTTTGAACCAAACCCTAGAAGGTTTGAGTTGCTTTCAGATGAGAAAGACAACTCCACACTCAAAATATGATTTAATACGGAAAAGTTATTTAGAGTTTCTTTGTAAGTTGCGTTTTGGACTGATTTGTTGTTCCATGTGTTAGACAGTTGTATATTCTTTGTTATCTCTTGGACTTGAAAAAAATCAGCAGGGTGGATGATTTCTTCTGTACTTGAAATAATCACAGTAATAACAAGCATTGTTTAAAGTCTCAATGCACACCAGGGCTTTGCACACTTTCACCACATTCCACCAGTCTTACAAGACAAGGCTTATCAAGCCCATTTCACAGATGCAGAGCCCGAGGCTCATAGAGTTTGGTAATGTGCCCAAGTTCACACAGCTAGTAAGTGATAAGGCTGGAACCAGACTGCTGGTCTGAATTCCTCTAGAGTTCACACTGTTCCACTCCTCCCAAACTGAAGCTTACTGTGAATTGCTTAATTCATTTTCTTCTACAACCCCAAAGTGTGTCTCAGGTAAGAAAGAAGAGGTCTCTGTACCCCAAACACTGGATTGAAATACATAACCAGAGCAAGAAGAATACCACAATAATTGACAGACGTGAGTTACAGAGAAAAAGAAACAATACTCGGTGACAATATGATCACCGACAGAAGCAAAATTAGATAGCTTCGAAAGATCAAAAGATTACAAAAATCATCTGGCTGCACCTTTTCTGTAGAAAGTAAATCTTTTAGAACTATCCTTTGGTTGGTGAAGTGAAGAAATAGATCAGCATGTTTTTTTCCCTGAGAGCACAACATCTGTCCGAGGCTCTCCACCTTCCGTTTCAGTTTCCTAGTGTCACATCACTTCTGGGACAGGGACCTCTTCTCTGCAAGGTTTGCAAAGAGGAAACTGGTCAAATTTTTGCAGGGATGTGACACTTCCCTGGAAGAGTTTGATCAAGAGACAGAAGCCTAAATGAGAACACTCATGAATGAATAGTGGGGAGAAACCACTCCAAAATGTAAGGCTTCATCCAGCCCCTCAGGAGAGTGAACTCAGTTCAGTAGACAGAGGAGTCCCAGGTTCTGATACATGTAAAGGCAAGGAGCATAAAAGAAGATTGATGGAAGGACCCAGCCAAAACTGTGGGGTTCTATGGAGTCCTTTCCTTACTATCTGTTATTGCAGGTTGCAAAAGGACTGTGATCATGAGGATCATCCAGAATTCCAACTCGAAATTCTCAGAAAACAGGACCTTGATGTGAGAGGAGCAGGTTCAGGTAAACAAAGGGTAAGTTACAGGTTTGCTCACTTGTCAAGATGAGGACCTGAATGTGAACTAAGGATAGCACCCACACGGCCTCACAAAGTCCCCTCTGCTGTCAGCCCTAGGAAGCCTTGGCGGAGATGGCAGGCTGATTTCTGCCTGGAAAGTCTCAGGGACATGACAGGTTCCGTCTAATTGGGGCAGCCTCAGTTTTACAGAAGGAAGAGGCCGAGACCCTAACAAGAATCAACGTAGGACTCTTAAGTGTTAAGAGGGGACTCCACCAGCAGACGAGTCCCCAGAATTCATCCCCTGTTTTGAGGCATCACACACAGCTATCCACCTAAGATGCCTCTCATTTCCGCCTGGAAGGTCTCAGGGAGGATGGGGAGCATGGGGCCGGAAGGGAGTCACTTCAGTTCTGCCCGGAGAGGAAACCAGAGTCAGATGAGGACTCTGACAGCTGATGAGAAGACCTCTCCCCAAAAAGGGACTTTCACAGAGCCCTGCTGCTGCTGTCAGGCCTGTGAGGCCCAGGCAGGGATGGCCTGTGTGGCTCGCTAAGATTTCCATCTTGGGGGCTGAGGGAGGTGGGGGTATCGTTTGGAAGCTGGCGGATTTGGGTCAGAAGGCGGAGTCATCCCAGGCTGCTAGATGAGCAGGGGTGAGGACCCCTAGTGGGGACGTAGGGAGCAGCAACGCTAGAACAGTTACGTCCAGTAGCATTCTACCCCTTCCGTCAGCCCTGAGGCCACGGGCTGCCGGATGTGGCTCATCCTGACTTCCGCTTTGAAGGCGAGGACGCGAGCGCGGGAGCGAGCGAGCGTAAGGGCGCAGTGTCTGCCTGGCGGATTTGGGTCAAGAGGTGGAAGTTGTCCCAGGCTGCTAGATACTAAGGTGAGGAACCCTAGTGGGGACGAAGGGACCAGCGACGCTAGAACAGTGTCCTAGCGTCCTGCCTCTGTCGTCAGTCCTCAGAGACTCTTGCCGTCAGCCCTCAGAGGCCCTGGGCTGCTGGATGTGGCTCATCCTCACTTCCACTTTGAAGGCGAGGACCCGAGCGAGCGTAAGGGGTGCCGCGTCCGGTCAGCCGAGGGTGAATTCTCAGGACTGGTTGGGAGTCAAGGTGAGGACCCTGAGTGTAAATTGAAGAGACCACACCCACCCGTAACAAAGAGGGCCCCACTAAGTCCCGCTTCTCCATTTGGTCCTGGGAGGCCTCAGGTAACCGGATGGGTAGCACCCTGACTGTCTCTTCAGTGACTCAGGGAGATGAGGGCTTTGGCCTAAGTCTTACAGACTCAGGTCAATAGAGGGAGGAGTCCTAAACCCTACTAGGAATCAGGGACAAAGTCCTGTGTGATAACTGAGGGAGTCACAGACTCCAGAACAGTGGGGTCCAAAAGCCCCGCTCCTGGGCTGTGCGTGGTGACTCACGCCTGTAATCCCAGCACTTTGGGAGGCCGAGGCGGGTGGATCACGAGGTCAGGAGATCAAGACCATCGTGGCTAACATGGTGAAACTCCGTCTCTACTAAAAATACAAAAAATTATTGGGGCATGGTGGTGGGTGCCTGTAGTCCCAGCTACTTGGGAGGCTGAGGCAGGAGAATGGCGTGAACCCGGTAGGCGGAGCTTGCAGTGAGCTGAGATTGCGCCACTGCACCCCAGCCTGGGCGACAGAGCGAGACTCCATCTCAAAAAAAAAAAAAAAAAAAAAAAAAGTCCCGCTCTGTAGGGAGCGCTTGTTGGCAGGAGAGCCCTTAGTTCAACTCTAAGGATCTCTGTCTCAGGTCCCTGTCTCTTATACACATCTGGCGACAGAGCGAGACTCCATCAAAAAAAAAAAAAAAAAAAAAGTCCCGCTCCTGCTGTCGGCAGGCATGGGCCCCAGTCAGCCATGGTGGGATGTGGCCCACTATGACTGTAAACTTAGGTCCAAGAAGTATGAGAACTTTTGTCTACAGGGCATGGTCTCAGGACCAGTCCATGGGTGGAGTCCCAGAAAGAGTGACGAGTGTAGGTGGAGACACTGAGTGAGGAAATGGCGGCTACTCAATACACAAGTGAGATAGCTGCGCCTGATGCTGTCCCTGGGAATCCCAGGCCAGAGCTGGCAGGCTTAAGTACTCCCTGGCTTCTGCCTTCGTGGTCTTAGGGAGAGGAGGGCCTTGGTTTAAGACCTTGCTACCCCAGTTCAGTAGAGAGATAGGAGTCATATGCCAAGACAGGTGTTAAGGTACAGTTTCTGTATGAGGAATGAGGTAACCATGTAGTCCAGAACAGGCAGGAACACACAGTCTTACCTTGGCGTTCATTCCTGAGAAGGCAGGGTTAGAACTCTCAAGTTTAGATGCCCCTCATTTCCTTCAGGGGCTGTTTCAGGTACATAATGGCTTTGGTTTAACATGAAAGCCCTTATTTAGTACAGGGAGGAGGCCCAGTTCCTAAAAGATGGTGATACTGAGGGAGTGTGAGGGGATCCCCTCCAAGAAAGAGGTAACACACAAAGAGCCCTATCCCCACTGAGACCTGGGAGATCCAGGTATGGTGATATGATGAGTCTCACTCACTTCTTCCTAGAGCATCTCAGGGAAGTGAGGAACTTCATCAAAGGGGGCAGCCTTATGTTAGCAGCTAGAGGATTCCCGGGTAATTCCAGGAGTCAAGAAGAAGACCCTGAGAACTGGGGGGACCACTCATCCCATAACAGTGAAAGAAACACGGAATTCCTTCCTGATTTTCATCCTTGGGAGATGATGGACAGTTGTAGCCAGATGGGAAAAGTTTCACTTCTTCCTCAAGGAGTTGGGGGTGGGGGGCTTTGTATGACTGGATAGGCGTTAGATCAAGACAGAGAAGACACTGAAGGAGGAATGAGATGAGCATTGACCTAGAGAGTGGGGCTTCACCAAGTTCCACCCCCTCTCAGCTCTGGGAAACCCCAGGCAGAAGTAACCAGATGTGTCATCCCCTCAAGACTAGCCCTGGGTACTCAGAGAGGTGAAGGCTTTTGTTTGAGGTTGGAAGAATCAAGCGGGCTTAGAGAGGAGCTCAGACTTTGCTTGAGTGAAGGCTAAAGAGAACAACGACCCCAGAACAGTGGAGCCCCATAGAGGACGGGGTGACTGGATGTGATTCAGGCTTTCTTTCATCTTGGGACTCTGAGGCAATGAGAATCTTAATCTGATGTAAAGGGCCTCAGGTCAGTAGAGAGAGGATTTCCAGGTCGTGCCAGGACTCATAGAGAGGACTTGAGGGAACTCCCACCTCATCAGTGGGGATCCCTCAGAGTCACTCTGTATGTCATCCCTAGGAAGCCCTGAGCATAAATGTCAGAAGTGCCCCTAAATTCCTCTTCAGGAATAACGGAAATGAAGGTCTTAGTCGGATGGGTTAGCAGGAGGGGTAGGAGGCATTTTAGGTCCGCCCAGGAGTCAAACTGGAGACCTTGAGTGAGGACAATGAGTGGGACTACACATCGCAGGGCTTCAACCTGCCAGCCACAGCTTTGAGCCTCTGGAGAATATGGGCGATGTGACCAGATACAGCCACCCTCATTTCCTCTATTGGGTCTCAGGCAGATGTAGGCCTTACTATGAGTAAAGGTCCTCAGGTGTAGAGAGAACAGAGCCCTAGGCCCTTCTGGGAGTGAAAGTATGGATGTGGACTGAAGGTACCATTCCCCCAAGCCCCCAACCACCATCCCAAATAGAGGAAAAACAACGATGTTAGTCCTGTCTCTGCACTTAGCTCTCAAAGGCCTTCGCCAAGAGTTGCCAGGCTGAGACTTCTTTATTTCTTTGCAGTAGGTCTAAGGGAGGTGACAGCTTTGGTCTGAAGATGCAGCACCAGTTAGCAGAGGAGAGGTTCCCAGACCTTAGATATAGATGAGATGAGGACTCTGAATGAAGATTGAGGTCCAACTAGCTCAGGACAGAGAGTTCCACAGAACTGTCAGCACTGCCACCCCGCCCAGCCCCCGGCAAGGATGGTGGGCTGAAGCAGTGCCTCATTTTTTCTTTGGTGGATTCCAGAGAGCTTTGAAGTGTCAGCTTCAGAGCAGCACAGGAAGGAGGTCCCAGCCCCTTCCAAGAGTAGATATGAAGATCCTGTATATAAATTGAGAGGGCCCTTGAACACAGAGGTAGTCTACACTGCCAACCTCTGCTGTCACCCAGTCAGTCCCAGGCAGGATTGGCAACAAGAGCCTAGTGGGTTCTTAGAGCAGTGTCCTCAAAAAGCCAGCAGAAATGGCTCTCTAAAAGCCAAGGTGGTACCTCCCTACTGCAAGTGCTCACAGAATCTCATTCTCTCTCCTTCAGGCCCCACATCTCCTGCCCTTCTGCCCACACTCCTGCCTGTTTTGCCTGACCACAGCCATCATGCCTCGGGGTCATAAGAGTAAGCTCCGTGCTCGTGAGAAACGCCGCAAGGCACGAGAGGAGACCCAGAGTCTCAAGGCTGCTGAGGCCACTGCAGCAGAGAAAGAGGAGTGCCCCCCCTCTCCTGTTTTGGGGGATACTCCCGCAAGCTCCCCTGCTGCTAGCATGCCCCAGAAGCCTCAGGGAGCTTCACCCACCACCACTGCTGCTGCGGCTGTGTCATGCACCGAATCTGATGAAGGTGCCAAAAGCCAAGGTGAGGAAAATGCAAGTTCCTCCCAGGGCACAACATCCACTGAGAAGTCAGTCAAAGATCCTGTAGCCTGGGAAGCAGGAATGCTGATGCATTTCATGCTACATAAGTATAAAATGAGAGAGCCCATTATGAAGGCAGATATGCTGAAGTTTGTTGATGAAAAGTACAAGGATCACTTCCCTGAGATCCTCAATAGAGCCTCTCACCGCTTGGAGCTGGTCTTTGGCCTTGATTTGAAGGAAGACAACCCTAGTGGCCACACCTACACCCTCGTCAGCAAGCTAAACCTCACCAATGATGGAAACCTGAGCAATGATTGGGACTTTCCCAGGAATGGGCTTCTGATGCCTCTCCTGGGTGTGATCTTCTTAAATGGCAACTCTGCCACCGAGGAAGAGATCTGGAAATTCATGAATATGTTGGGAGCCTATGATGGAGAGGAGCACGTAATCTATGGGGAGCCCCGGAAGTTCATCACCCAAGATCTGGTGAAGGAAAAATATCTGAAGTACAAGCGGGTGCCCAACAGTCATCCCCCACGCTATCAATTCCTGTGGGGTCCAAGAGCCTACACTGAAACCACCAAGATGAAAGTCCTCGAGTTTCTGGCCAAGGTGAATGGTACCACTCCCCGTGACTTCCCATCCCATTATGAAGAGGCTTTGAGAGATGAGGAAGAGAGAGCCCGAGTCCGATCCAGTGTTAGAGCCAGGCGTCGCACTGGTGCCGCAACTTTTAGAGGGCGTTCTAGAGCCGCATTCAGCAACTCCTCCCAACCCATGTGAGAATTAAGGCAGATTGTTCACTTTGTTTTTGTGGCAAGATGCCAACCTTTTAAAGTAGAAGCCAAGATAGGGCTAGAGAGATCATAACATATATCTTCTTTGTGTTCCTGTTAAACATTAGTATCTTTCAAGTGTTTTTCTTTTAATAGAACGTTTATTTAGAGTTAGGATCTATGTCTATGAGCGACATGGATCACACATTTATTGGTGCCGCCAGCTTTAAGCATAAGAGTTTTGATATTCTGTAATACATTTTTGAAATCCTTGAATCTTTTTTGGGTTCAAGAAGAAGAAAGTATAGCTTTAGAATAGAGATTTTCTCAGAAATGTGTGAAAGAACCTCACACAACGTAATTGGAGTCTTAAAATAGAGGAAGAGTTAGCAAAGCATGTCAAGTTTTTGTTTTCTGCATTCATTCACTTTTGTTTTTGTAAAATCCAAAGATACATACCTGGTTGTCCTTAACCTTTTCAAGAATGCAGATAAAATAAATTGTAATAAATTATATTCTTTGTTCAGTGGCTCATTTATTCTCACCATAAATTGAGCATTTGCTCCTTGTAAGGCTCTGTGATAGTAGTGATTGTACTAAGTTAGAGAAGACCCTTCCCCTGCACACAGATTTTTAGTCTAAGGAGTTATTATTTAAGGAAGGTGGTGAGATACACTCCAACATGTACAGATTTTTTTAAAATAAAAAATTACTCCCTAGAAAAAGAAGTGAGGATGGTGGGAGAAGGTTCAGACAAGAGCAGTCAAGTGTTAATTTCCTTAGCCAAGGCACTTTGTGGTGTGGGACAATGCAAGTCCCTCATTGGGAGGTCATTTTAAGTTAGCTCCACAGTGAACTGGTTGAGGTGATAATCATAAGAAGGTGCCACACCCTCAGATCATGAGCCTTAAAGTTGAGAGATTAAGCTTGGAAAGGGAAACTGCCCTTAACAGTTACTTTGGGATTGTGGGTAAAGCAGAGAGAACCTGTGTCTAGGGTAGGAGTTGAAGAATACAGTGCTCTCATCCCAGGGCAGTCAAACACAGGGCACAAACTAGTTTTATGCACGTTGTCTCCAGAGAGGGTTTGAGAAATAAAGGTTACACTTCCTTGAGGTGAGATGCCAAGAAACCACTAAGCTAACACTCTTTTCCCTGAGCTTGTGCAGCCAGAGCCTACTCCATTAATTAGGTCTTCTTGTGTATAATTTGGCAAAACTCCAAGGTAGGGCTAGATCTCATTGGTGATGAAATAAGTGAAAATAAGAATTTTTTGTAGGAAGGGAATCTCAGAGGGAGGGGAGTTGTTGGTCCTTGACATAAACTCTATAAGCTTTGAGTTGAATTCTGATGAAGTCCCTGCTCCCGTATTAAATAACATACTCTCCCATGGGGAGAATTTACGTAGCGTTACTTGCTTAGCAGCATTTTGACTTATTTGGTTGTTTTTTAGAGTACTGCATGTTCTCTGACAATTCCTGGACAAAACAAAAATTTTCCAGAGATGAGAGCAGTTTTCTTGGTATGAATATAATCATAGTAATAACTGCCATTCATTAAAGAGCCAATATTTGCCAGTCACTTTGCCAGATGCCTTACATACATTTCATGTGTTCCACAATCCTACAAGATGGGGCTTATCAAATTAGGAGATGAAAAACTTGCAACATCCTCAAGTTCACATGGCTGGTAAGTGACAGGGCTGGGACAAAACCCCCAGTCTGAATGTTTCCAGAGCCCTCACTGTCCTGCTTCTCGCAATCTGAGGCCAAACTGTCTCTTAATTCTCACTCTTCCACAATATCTCTCAAATGATAACAAGTGCCCTGTGGCCAAACTACTAAAAGCAGGCCTTTCAGTGAAAGGAAAGGCAAAATGAGAAACAGAGTTTTGAACTATGGGGTTCATTGCCCTGGGGTTCTCCCGCCTCTAGCCCACAGGTTCCTCTAGAGCTGATTCTGCTCTGGGCCCAGCACATAAGTCTAGTCCAGTGCTTTCCCACATTACAGTGCCCTTCCCCGGGGTCTTCCTCAGTGTGCCCCCCTGTCCAAACTGGAACTGACCTGCTGGTCAGCTTCACTGTGTCTTTCTCTGCAGCCTGCACCTGCTCCCAGAGGAACAGCCCAGACTCACTTGCACTTTCCCTAACACAGAGGGTTCTAACTGCTTGGAGGTCCCACCCCTCACCACAGATGCCCTTTGACAGCAACAGCCCCTTTCGTGTAATTGTTCACTTCAAATAGTGAAGCCTAGACACCTCTTCATGTCTCTGGATGCTGCCACCACACTGTCAAAAGTGTTTTCAAATCTACTAGTGAGAAGAGTTTGATTTAGCACAGAATCTACTGTTTCTTGATTTATAACCCTGAGGCTAGAAAAGAGGCTTTTTAAAACCACCCTGATATTTGCAGTAGGATTTTAATAGAGTATTTTATTTGAGACAGGCCACTGAACACATACACCAATGAGTGAATTTGCCTAGGTGGTCAACATCCAAAGCTTGCCTCTTAAGTGGTAGATAAGGAAAGACAGAGGAAATCACTGTGTAAGCAAACATCTACTGTGGCTAAATCCCTAAAAATCTTTCTTCAAGTCCTTCTCAGAGGTGGAAAATGGTTCCTTGGCAGACATGCCAACTTTGAATAAAAAGAGAAAATAACTTACTATCCTTCAGTTTACTCTTATCTTTATCTGCCCCAGAGGAAAATATTGGTTTTTCAGTGTGCTTCATTGTACCTGTTCAGGTGTTTGGGAATGTTAAGTAGGTGGTGGGTAGCTATGATTTGACCAGGCACCAAAGGTAGGAGAAAATTCTCAGCCTACTAAAATTATGCTATTGTGCTATTGATCGACAAAGGACAAATCCTCCTTGTAGAAATTTCCAGGATCATTTTGAAATTAGACATGACCTTGTGTTTGAAAACATCTGTCACATAGTAGACACTAGAAAAATGTTGCAAATTTCAAGGCAAATTTGGCCTTCTTACAAACTCCTCTAAGAAATGAAGAGGGTTATTGTCCTAACCAATTATAACAGTTGCTCTTCATTGAACATCTACTGTGTACCGGTTTATGGGAGAGATGGCAAGTGTTTATCTATATGATGTCTTGCTCTCTTTCCTGGGCTCATGGAGAGACTACATTCCCAGTCTACTCATAGTTAAAAAGGGTCATGTATTTAACCCTTGCCACTGAAATATGAGTAAAAGCATGTTTGTCATCTCTAGGTCAAGGCACTGAGATCCAGTCGGCCACCTCCATGCTTTCTCTTCCATTCAACAGCAAACATGGAGAACCCACGTTGAGGTGTGGAGCCACATGATAGAAACAACCTGGTTCTCTAGGTCACTGCCAACCCACTTCAGGTTTTATGTGCACAAAAAAGAGAAATATTTGTTGTGTTAACCCATTCATATTTCAGGGTTTTTGTTGTTGCTGTTGCATCAGATAGCAGTTACTTTATTTGAGTAATATACACAACTACTATTTCTATTGTCAGGCTTATTAAAAATATTTTAATCATAAAGCTAGTGGTAGTATGCATATTCTTGTTGGAAAAAATTTTAATACCAATAAATCACAATCTCACAACTTTCCTCTAAAATTCAGCCCCCATTTCAAAAGTAGCCACAATTAATAATTCGATGTGTGTCATTTTAAAGCCCACTCAAAGCTTTTTAATACATAGATATGCCATGAAAATATATTGAGTTTTTAACATACATAGGTAACAATGTATATATTGTTGCGCCATTTGCTCTTTTTATTTAATGAAGTGAATGCACAATCTCTTTTTTTTGAGATGGAGTCTCACTCTGTTGTCCAGGCTGGACTGCAGTGGTGCAATCTCCGCTCACTGCAACCTCCGCCTCCCGGGTTCAAGCGATTCTTCTGCCTCGGCCTCCCGGGTAGCTGGGATTACAGGCACACACTACCATGCCCGGCTAATTTTTGTATTTTTAGTAGAGACGGGATTTCACCATATTGGCCAGGTTGGTTTTGAACTCCTGACCTTGTGATCCTCCCGCCTCTGCCTCCCAAAGTGCTGGGATTACAGGCATGAGCCACCACACCCGGCCAAATGCAGAATCTTTTTATGACAGCAGGTATAGATCCTCCTCACTTTTTAAGCTAATTTCTAGAATTCTAAAGTGTACATGTGCCTCAATTAACCATTCTCCTTCTGATAGACACATAAGTTGCTTCCCATTTGTTGTTATGATGAATAGAACCAAAATTAATACCTTTGAAGATGAATTTTGGAGTAAATATGCATGGTTCCTTATAGGAAAGACGTAGTGAAGCAGAAGTAGGGTTAAAGTGGAGAAGGTGTGATGATTGCAAAATTTTATAAATATTGCTAAAATTTCATCAAAAATGCTCTATTGACTCACATTACCACAAACTAAAGTATGTAGATACCCTGCACCCTTATTTGCATATTATTTTATCAATCTTAAATTTTGGTTAAACTTTGGGGTAAAAATATTATCTCACTGTAATCTTAATTTGTTTCCTTGTTTTCTAATTTGGTTGAGCAGAAAATTCACTTAATTCCTTTCCCCTATAAAGGAAGATTTCTGCAGTGATGTCTTGAGTACCAGAATCCCTTTGGTCATGCCTTGAAATTCTGAAATGTTGATAACACATTTCCCTTTACTTTGAGAGGAAAAGATTTGGTCCGAATGACCAGGTGCCAGGAAGTGGTTCCAGACAAGTCACCTTCAGTTTGTGAGGAGCATCTGGAGGATTCAGGGGGAGAGCAACTTTCAGAGTCCATTAGAGAGACCACATGCTAAACTAAGCCCACAGAACCCAAGGCAGCTGGCAGTCAGGGGTTTGGATCTAGAGTACAGCATAAGGTAGAGAAGGAACCAGAAGGAGAGAGGGCAGAGAGTCTGATGGAGGGCCTGAACAACTTCCATGAACTGATTTGGGAAATCTCTGAATAATCGTTACCAGCCTGAAATTGTAGGGTGATCTGAGTGGGCAGATCTATTGAATGAAAGGATCAGAGGCAGCCTGGTTGCCTGGGTCACCTGATGGCAGAAAGCCTTTGCCAACCCATATCAGGTTTTATTTGCATGGACACCTCACGATCCCTTAGAATTCTCCCCTACTTACTATCTAGCTCCCCTTTGTCACTCAGCAATTCTAGTGATGGATTTTGAGAGAGTTATATGTCTTGACTACCCTGAGGGTCCGATACACCCTCGCCAGAGTGCCAGAGCTCACTGGTATCTTCATGCCTATTTGAGGCAGGTATTTCTTTCCCTTTGGAGAGTGGATCCTCTCCACCGAGGCTAGGGCTATGTGAATAGGTAGGGTTAGTTGAAGATGACAGATATTCACTAGTGATGTGACAGCAGTTGAGGTAGGCTCGACGTATCAGTGTAGCAGTGAAAGAGGGTATGCAACTGCAAGGAGGGGGAGATTGGAGAGGAGATTGATGCTAAGTACTGCAAGTTATACTACAGATAAAAGGCTGGGTGTGGACATGTCTCCTA